GTAGGCAGATTCATGTGCGCCGGTATCTTTCTTCAATGCTCGACAATCTCTTTTAAAGTGACCCTTCTTGTCACAATTATAACGGGTATAATCTTTCTTTCCCGTTCTTGATTTTCCCCCTCTGGATTTGGATCTGCCATGATTTGAATTTCTTTATGAATTTCTCCCTCTAGACTCCGTGTGCAAGGCTGAGGAGGTTGATGCTTTTCCTGATTCTCTCCGTCGAATTTCTTCACTCAATACCAGATCTCGAACATCGTCGAATTTTAATTTGTTGTTTCCTGACGAGCTACTGACTACTGTAACAGTAGCATTCCAACTGTCTGGTAGAGATGATAAGAGAATTAAAGCTCGAACTTCATCATCAAATTCAATTTCCACGGAACTCAACTGGGTTGTAATTTTGTTGAGTTCATTTAGGTGTTGAGTCACTGATGCCCTTTCCGCCATCTGCAAATTGAATAATTGCTTCATCAAATGAACTTTGTTTGAGGCCGATGGCTTCTCATACATACTGGAGAGAGCCGCCAGAAGACCCGCTGTGGTATTTTCCTTTGCTATGTTGAAAGCAACATTTCGGGACAACGTCAGTCAGATAACTCCGAGGATTTGTCTGTCGAGAAAAGCTCAGTCTTCATTCTTCATGCCCTCTGGTTGCTTTCCTGAGAGAGGTTGATATAGATTTTTCTGGTACAAAAAATCTTCAATATGTATCTTCTAAAAGCCAAAGTCCGCACCATCGAACTTTTCAATTTTCACATTCCCTTCGTCTGCAGCCATCGCTCCCACTCGAATCTGGCTTCTTTGGATCGTTCTGACAATTTTCACGAACCGTCGTGTATTAGAACACCTCCGTCGACAAATTCGTATCGCCTACAAAATTTTACTATTCACGAAATTCACTATTCACTATTCACGTGAATAGTAACCTTACAAAAAATTGACAAAATTGACAACCAAAAGCTATGATACCAGTTGTTGGGAAATAAACCCGAGTACAAGTAATTTTCCTATAACCAGATTAGTGAGAATGCGAAATAAAAGCTAAAAATAATACCCGAAATTGATAACAGAGTTCAGCCAATTTTGTCTACGTCTCCGGACTGCTGTAGATCTTTTACTAAGAGAGAAAATTTACAGGTGTTTACAAAATACTCACTACTCACAAGAACCTCTCTAGTATTGGGAGAAAGAAATGATTTTGAAGCTAAATGAGCTAGGGTATTTATAGTTGAAGGTTAATGACTAATCTTATAAATACCCTAAAGTCAAGTGACTATTAATAATTATCCCATTACAATTTTTCAACAAACATCTACCAAACTTTGAAAAACCATTTTTTAAAGAATCATTTACCAAACTTTGAAAACCATTTTCAAAGAAACATTTGCCAAACTTTGAAAATCATTTTTCCAAAGTTGCTTGCCAAACTTTAAACTTTTAACACTCGGGACCTACCAAATGCCAAATCCGCTGATAAAATAAAGCTCTCAAACCATCCTCACCCGATGCTTTCAGTGGACTTAAAGATTTCATTGCATTCTTCAACTCATCTCTATTAAAAGGCCTTGAGAATTATTTATCCCTTCATTTATACAGGGATCAATCCCTTCTAAGCTGTCGCTGTCAAGCTGTGGAAAACTCGACTCATATAGTTTTTCAACATACTCTCGAGCCATTGTTGCCATACCCTCTTCGTCTTCTCTACTAATCCCATCCGTTGATTGCAGTCTTCGGATATGGTTGTGTCGTTTTCAAAATACGATGTGTTGTCATCACTGTTTTTCAATCAATTTACACGAGCTCTCTATTCCCAGTGAATCTCTTCCCTATCAGTGTCCACATTTATCTGTAGCTTTGTGTCCAAAATTTCCCCCAACACATCATCGGTAGGTGATAATTCAACCAGTTCGGCCAACTTGCAATTCAGATCTGTGGCAGTTAGACGTTTCCTCCTACAAGTCTCCTTGAACCATAAATCCAAACCATGACACAAATAATTCAATTTTTATGGAACCGAACCACTAGCCTCATTCCACAATCTCTCTACCGTATCATGGCAAGATTCTTCAAGCAACCATGACGCTTTAAATTCGGTAATGCCAACGACGATTCACTTGTTTCGAAGATGTCGTACTCAATAGCAACGGGCAGTGATCCGAGAAGCTTTGTGACATCTGGTGCAAGGTGTAATGAGGGAAATTTGTTAACCCAATTTCATTTGCAAGGCCACGATCCAACATTTCTCTGATATTGTTTTCCGCACGTTTACCCCTCTCCCAAGTATACCACACCCCCGCGTACCCTACATCAAGCAAACCACAATCCTCAATTGCATCATTGAACGTTTTCATTTGTATGTCGTTACGAGTGCGACCTCCCTCCTTCTCATAAGCAAACATGATCTCATTAAAGTCACCTAGCACTATCCAAGGCACATCCGTGGTACTATTCAAAGTCCTCAACAAATCCCAAGATTTCGATCTTCTTACTTCCTCAGGGGCTCCATAAAATCCAGTTAATCTCCTTGTAATCCCTCTTTCCTCATCCGACACCAATACATCTATATGTGAATAAGAAAACGAGCGTAACTGAACATTACACCATGGCTTCCAACCCAGACTCAAACCACCACAAGTACCTCTAGAATCCACATTAATTCCATTCTCAAGACCACAAGATTTGCGCATCTTCTCCATACTATTTCTTTGTAATTTCATCTCCATCAAGAAAATTACAGAAGGGTTTGTGTCTCTCAACTTACGTCGGAGACAACAGACCGTCCGGGTCATCCCCAAACCCCGGACGTTTCAACTTAATATTTTCATGGTGACTGACGGGCCTATGATTTCAGGTCGGCCGATATATTCAATTGTCCCGCACCATATATTCCTTCTGTTACTATCTCCTTCAAAGAGTTCCTTGGACGCATTGATCCATCTGATTTTTTGCAATGGGGATTCTTCATCTACTATTACAATCGTCATATCCATATTCACTACAGCTATGCTATTTCTTTCACTCACTGTCACAGTTCATAACTTCGAATTTTCATTCTTCCCCTTACTTCTTTGCGGTTCCACGTTTATCCCAGTTTTGATTTTATTGTCCCTATTCTCCTGACCTTCCTCTTCACGCAACTAGGGGCTTGGTGCTAGAGTTCTACTATTCGATGGGGCTCTCAACGATAGGTTCCATTATGGACTTGGATCTTGTTTCGGTTGCAACACCCGCAATGGGCAAAATCCTTCCCCATTAACTAATTTTCCGCATAAGAAACAGAAAACCTTTAGTTTCTCATATTGAAACAGAACATAGTTAGATCCTCGCTTAGCCAAGGCAATTTTCTTTTTTCTCTTCAGAGGCTTCCTGACATCTAGAAGTATGCTGAAATGTAGACAACCCTTATAACCCAGAGATAATGCTGCCGCATCGAACTCCAAAAAATTCCCCACAAAATTTCCCAATTGTTTGGAAACCTATTCGGATATAAATCCCACTTGTAGATCGTTGTTTACAACCCAAAAACTCACATAACTAATATCATTTGATTGAGGGTTTTTATATGGCCCTAATCTGTGTAAAACCAACAGATGCGAATCGAAATACCAGAGACCTTTCTTCCAAATCCTTTCCACATCCACCTTGTGAAAGAGTCTAAACATAATACGTCTATCCTCTAACTCTGTAATAGTAATTCCCCCAATTGGATGCTAGACATTCTCCATCATAGTCGTCATGGCTTGAAAATTTACCCTACTTGTTGTGAGAAGCCTTCCGCGTACTTCTAGATTAAAGGGGTGTCTGTTGCATTGTCGAGTTGAAGAATTTCTTCTTCCTCCTCCTCACCTATATTCAGTCCCTCCAATTCCTCCGTAATCTCCCTCATCGTCCTTCTCTAACTCTTTTCCGATCACCAAAATCACATTGCCCCTGTGATTCAAAAGAACGTCTTCAGAAACAAAAACAGCCTAGGACGGCCAAGATACCCTAACTTTGGGTAATTTTTTTTAAGATGTATTTGTAGTACAACGTTACTCTTTTAAGTACTTATGTCCTAACAATCTCTTATTATAACTAATCCATTTTACTCAAAAACTTTTATTTTTATCATATATCTAGAAGATATTTGATAAAATACTACAACTAAATTTATCCCTTAAACTATATGAATCAAATTTAATGTTATATTTAGATATTTCAAATTTAAATACTCGAGATTGTATGGTATTTAAATTTTAACTATCAAATAATTAAGAATCTTTAAACCATATACCATAAATTATAAACACCCTGAATTAATGAGAAAAAAAAAGGTAATCCAACATTAACTTAACGTGATTTCATTTCATTTTCCATCTTCATCTTCATCTTCGTAGACTCGTACAGTTAATATCCTAGTACGCTTCGTATTTATTTGAGTTTTAAGACTTATTTTTATGCTACATTTATTTTCGTACTCTTGTTGGTCGGATACTTGTTGTCACTATTCCATGTTCGTACTTTGTATATTTCATAACTATTATTAGGTATCCTTTGGATTAATGTTTTATGTTATTTATATTAATTTCTCTATTTTTATTTTTGTTTTTATCTTATTTTAAATCATTTCTCTATTATTATATTACATTGATAAAGTTTAAATTACTTTTTATATAACAAAAAAAAGGTAAGTCAAATAGTAATTCACCTTTTCATAATATTAATTTTCCAATCAAGCTTTCTAAATGTTTAGGTAAAAATGATTAATCCCTTAACTGATTCATAAATTTTTAAAAATGGTTGATTATTCGATCGAAAATGTTTTTTTTATAGGTAATGACTTTGTCACATCTCCAACGACTAAGAAACGGTGGAGTGAACAGCTAATATTCAAAAGGAAAGACTTGGTAAGTTACGCCATCTTGCCCTTGCAGACTGAGTCTAAGGCGTCCCCCTTATATCAAACTTCCGCTCAATGTGTGGCCGCCGAGGAAGAGTATCCATCGATCTTCACATATAATCTAGCAAAAACGGTGATGAGTTTGATCAGATCAGTAGTGCTTCTGCAGGTGATGATCTTGTTTAATGTTATGTTGACAGCAAAAGCTTCAACACCAGCAATGGCAAAACCCAGCTGCCCAAGCCGCTGCGGCGATGTTATCATCCCTTACCCGTTCGGCACCCGCGGCGATTGCAACATCACCGAAAGATTTTTCATCACATGTAACACTAGTGTCACACCCAACAAACCCTTCCTATCCACCTCTAACATCGAAGTCATCGACATATCCCTTGAAGACGGTCAGTTGCGAATCCTCAGTAATTCAAGCTATGATTGTTACAACACCTCGGGATCTAGGAGACGGTATTACTATTTTCTCCAGCTCGGACTTCGTGGAATTTCAATAAACAATGCCAAGAACAGGTTCACCGCAATCGGCTGCGACACCTATGCTCGGGTGGAAGGTTTCCGAGGACAACGTTATGCAACCGGTTGCTTGTCGTTATGTAATAATATCACCGATGTTTCGAACGGATCTTGCTCCGGGATCGGCTGCTGTCAGACGAGTATCCCGAAGGGTGTGATGAGCTATTTCATCACTCTCGAAAGCTATGATAACCATACCGATGTATTGCCCGAAAACCCCTGCAGTTATGCATTTGTTGCTGAGAATGATAACTACACCTTCTCTAGTTCAGATATTCGCGGTTTCGGTTTCCAAAACAGGAAGTTTCCGGTCACTCTTGATTGGAGAATCGGGACTACGAGTTGCGACGAAGCAAAGATGGATGCCACGAATTTCGGATGCAAGGAGAATAGTGATTGCGTTGATTCAGAAAATAACTCTGGATATTTCTGCAAGTGTATCCGGGGTTACGAGGGGAACCCTTACCTCTCCAATGGATGCCAAGGTAACTACATATATACACGTATTTTCTTTCACTACAAATATTGTTTATTTCACTGATATTTTATCTGCACTTTTCAGATATAAACGAGTGTGAAACCATGAGTCCTTGCAATGGAACTGCAACATGTATCAATTTACAAGGAACATATAACTGTTCATGTCCGGTGGGCTATGAAGGCGACGGTCGGAAAAATGGAACTGGTTGCAGTTTACCCTACAAGGATCAGTCCAAGAGATCTCCCCTTATTAATGTTGCTCTAGGTTATTGATTTCTGTGCATACTTATTGAATTACGATTACATACGTTTCATGAAATAATTTGTAACTCAATGGAACTACTATTTTATGGTTTGAACATAGGAACTAGCATTGGGCTTATTGGTCTCCTCTTGGGGATAATATTGCTGCACTGGATGCTCAGGCGAAAACAGATTTCTAAACTAAGAGAAGAATACTTTCAGCAAAATGGTGGTATTTTGTTGCGGGAACAGCTTTCGAAGCGACGAGGGTACCGGGAAGATGTTAAAATATTTGCAGCAGAGGAACTCGAGAAGGCCACAAACAATTACCATGAAAGCAGAATCTTAGGACGAGGAGGGCAGGGGACAGTGTACAAGGGTATATTAGCCGATAATCGAGTGGTTGCCATTAAAAAGTCGATAATCGGAGACCCGAGCCAGGTTGAACAATTCATTAATGAAATCACGGTGCTCTACCAGATCAACCACAGGAATGTTGTCCAACTCCTAGGATGTTGTTTGGAGACACAGGTTCCACTTTTAGTCTATGAATATATCACCAATGGAACCCTCTTTCACCATTTACATAATGATGATGATGCCTCCTATCTTCCGTGGGAGACTCGTTTGAGAATCGCCACCGAAACGGCGGAAGCCCTTTCGTATTTACACTCCGCCGCTTCAGTTCCGATCATTCATCGAGACATCAAGTTGGCAAACATACTGTTAGATGACAATTACATCGCAAAAGTTTCTGATTTCGGGGCTTCGAGATTGAATCCATCGGACCAGGCACAAATAACTACAATCGTACAAGGAACTTTCGGCTACCTCGATCCTGAATACATGCTTACAAGCCTTTTGACCGAGAAGAGCGATGTTTACAGCTTTGGGGTTGTGCTTATGGAGTTACTAACAACACAAAAGGCGGTCTGCTTCAAAAGATCAGAACAAAACCGAGTTTTGGCAATGTACTTTGTTTCTTTGATGAAAGAAAACCGCCTGCTCGACATTCTTGATCCTCGGGTGCTTAACGACGAAAACATCGGGCAAATTAAGGAAGTTGCGGCTTTAGCAAGAAGATGCGTGAGAGTGCAGGGAGAAGAAAGGCCAACAATGAAGGAAGTTGCCCATGAATTAGCAGGACTGCAAGCAATGCCTAAACATCCTTGGAGTGAAAGTAAGCTAATAGGAGAAGAAGCCAAATACTTGCTCGGTGACTTGAACAACACTTACGATGATGGTGCGACGAGCAGCTCGATGGGGTACGATAGCATTAATAACAAATTCACATTTGAGCTACAAGGTGCTCGTTGATTATGTAATCAGATTTTCTTTCTTAGCACTGTGTATTAAAGTAAGCCAAGGCAGAGTGCTCTTTAGCAAAATAGTTTTTATCAGTTTACAGAGGTCGGTATTTTACTATTTTACTGTCATTGTAAAAGATCTTGTAAAGCCAAAGAACATACACATTGTCAAATTGGCTTGAAAGAATGATGAGATGAAGGTCTTGAAACTCTAGACATTGAAAAATGACTAAAATACTCCTAGTACTAAGTAGACGTAAAACATCTGCAACATTGTTACCGACCACGCAATATGATTTGCTGCCTACTGTCATAGTCGGACAGACTGCTTTCGTTACCTTGAGCATTAGCGCCGAAGAGTTCACCGAGCAAAGACTTGCCCTCCTTCGAATCATTTTTCATCCATGGATGCTTTGGCATTGTTCTTAGACCATCCAATTCGATTGCAACTTCCTTCATCGAAGGCCTATCTTCTCCTCTAACTCTTAAGCACCTGTTTGCCAACATGGAAACTTCCTTTATCTGTGTAGTGTTCCCCTCAACTAACACTTGATGATCGATAATCCCGAACAATCGATCCTTCTTCAGAAAAGAAACAAAGTGCATTGCTAGATTCCGTTCCTCTTCCGGCATTAGAAAGCTAAGTAACCTTTCTCCCGGTCAATAACTCTGCAAGTAGAACTCCAAAGCTATACACATCACTCTTTTCAGTCAGCTGGCTCGATTGAAAGTACTCCGGGTATAGGTAACCAAGCGTCCCCTGCACCAACGTTGTTAACTGTGTTTGATCCAAAGGAACTAACCTTGAAGCTCCGACACTTTTGCAACGTAATGCTCGTCCAAAAGAATGTTAGTAGACTTGACATCACGATGAATAATGGGAGGATAAGCAGCAGAGTGCAGATAGGAGAGTGCTCCGGAAGTTTCAGCTGCGATTATCAACCAACATTCCCAAGACAAAGATGCATTTCCCGGACAATGCAAGCGCTGGTAAAGGGTACCATTGGATATGAATTCGTAAACCAACAAAGGGACTTCGGTCTCTAAACAACATCCCAAGAGATTCACCACATTTCTATGGTTAACCTGAGAAAGAACAATGACTTCATTAACGAACTGTTCGACTTGACTGCCATCTGCAATCATCGATTTTTTAATGGCAACAACTCTACGGTCTTGCAGTATTCCTTTATAAACAGTCCCTTGGCCTCCTTTGCCTAGAATTCGAGTTTCATGAATGTTGTTTGTTTCCTTCTTGAGCTCCTCTGACGTGAAAATCTAGGCTGAAACAGGACCTTTAAGTTTTGAAAATTCTTGTAAGATAATTCCATCATTTTGTAGGAAGAACTGTTCTCTTTGTCTAATGAGTTTTCTTCTCCAAAGTCCCCAATATGTCCATGAACTGTTCAATATGACCACTAAAAGGCCTATGCTTACACCTAGACCGGTGATAAGGAAAGGAAAGCCTTGCTCATTAATAGGACTGCAACCTGTTCCATTTCTTTTGCCATCTCCTTCATATCCACCTTTACAAACACAGTTGAAACTTCCTGGTAAATTCTAGCATATTGCATTTTCGTCACAGGGACTCCAAATCTTGCACTCATTGACATCTGTGAAAACAGGTCAATTATCAACTGTACTTAATCGAGTTGCAGGACACAGAAGATACTAAGAGACATGCCTAAAGAACCTTCAGGGAGGTATGGATTCCCATCGAAACCGTCTGGACACTTGCAAAGATAACCCGAACCGATGAAAGGTTCGTACCACTCGCTCTGATGACATGCGTAACTCGACAGATTCTTAGCTGCTTCATCACAGGTCTCATTGCTTACAAGCCAATCGAGGGACACCGGAAATTTTTTATCTGGAGGGATGGATCGAACATAATCTGAAGAGAACCGAAATACACTTTCTTCAACGATAAAAGCATAGCTGCAACGGTTAAAATCCGACACATTAACACGTTCGTTAAAGCTAGAAGCTTGAACATAAACGGCTTTCAGTCCATCAGGAATCTGAATCTGGCAACATCCGAATCCTGAATAAGATCCATAGACCAAGTCCTCGAACCGATTACATAAGGGCATACAACCGGCAATGTAAGTGTTGTTTCCGATGAATCCATAGAGGTATGCATATGTGTCGCATCCGATGGAAGTGAACTTATTTCGTGTGCTCAAGACATTAATCGACAAAGGATATTCATACAAGTATGTCGTTTGTCGTTAGGCCACGGTATAGTTAGATTCCCTCAATGAGAAGGGCAGCCATTTTTGGGTAACGCTCGAGTTCTTGTCACAGGTATTACCGTTGCCGCCATTACCAACGATACGAGGATGTTTACTGATGGTCTCGTACGAGGATAAATTACTCTCTCGTTCCAAAACATGTAACCGAAAGTTTGATTAAAAGAGAAAACCAAATAGTGCAATTCTTTGGAGAATACGATGAATTATGTGCCATTTGCATTTATCTTTTGGGATAAAATCGATTCACTTTGGACTTCTGTAATTAAGATTTTCTGTTGTCGTGGGATTATTTCTGAGACCACATCGTTGCCGGCTTTATAATGCGCTATTTAATTAATGGGTAAACTATACCATTTATCACTCAATTAGCTTCTTATTTCAATTATGGTCCCTGAAGTTTAAAAAAATTTAATGTAATCACTCAACTTTAAAATTACTCATATTTTAATCACTCTACGATTGCATGAAATATTTATTAATATTTTCCTATAATATGTTGTATTTTATTAATATTTCAATGCTAAAAAGGATTATGATAAAAATGATTTAACAAATTTATGTTGCTTGAAAAAATCATCACATATAAAACCTGAAAAAGAGTAAGGCCCAAAATATAAAACCTGATTTTCTTTCGTTTTTTTCTTTCTTGTGGCTTTGTGCAACGACCGAGGCGGGGACAACACCTGGAGACATGTTCGTGAGCGGTGGTGATCTCATCAAAAGACGGGAGGTAAAATTATTTTTACCTGAGGCCTCTTTCGCATGTAGTGATCGGCGTGAATAACAGTGACGACAGATTGCATGGGGAGTTAGCGAGGTGAGCGCGTATATCTCACGCGATCAGATGCAGACGTGCATGGAGGTGACAGCAGGCTTGATGAATTAGGGTGAAACCCTAATTTCCTTGGATCTGGATCATTAGATTAGATCTTGATCCAATTGTAGAGATGGTTTGGCGGTTAGGGATATGACAAAACCCTAATTGCTATTGGGTTGTCACATGGGCCACTGAAATTGGGCTTGCTAATTTATTTGGGCTCTATTTTGTGTATTTGGGCTTTAGAAATTTTTAATTTAATAATAATTAATATTTTAGGTTGTTTTTACTCAATAATAATAATAATAATAATAATAATAATAAAACAAAAAATGGTGATTACACACCCCCTACGCCGTTATCCACCCCTTATTACTCATGTTGAGCGTGAGTGATCGTTGTTAATTTAGTCATTTGAATTTGTCAGATTAATTAGATTCTTTATGAAATTATTTCGTAGGCTCTGATTTGGCTCGATTCACCACTCGAGCTGACCGTGGTAGAGGTTATTTCCGTCGTTAACTATCTGTCAAGGTGTGTCTCTATTCGGTGCTACATTTATATTGTTTGGTTGCTTGCTTGTTTGTTTGATAGAAAATTAATTTAAAGCTTGTCTAATTATGAAAATTGATTATGTTATCTGTATTCGAAAAAAATGTTGTCATGTGATGCATGTTTAACTGTCGAAACTGAAATACGATTATGTGAATGTAATGTGTAAATGTGATTGATTTATCAAAATATATGCTTCAGAAATATTGTTATTCTGATTGGGTCAGACATCGTATATTATGTCATTTTGCATGTCATGTTGGGACGAATTTGATAGGGGAAATTCAGTGCATTTACTTGACGGGGTGAATGTCAATTTTTAGATTCAATGGCCTCTGCCTTTGTAGTGAACTCCACTCATATGGTGTGTTTTGATTGTAGAAAGTATGGTTCCGAGGAACCCACTCTTTGAATGGTGTAACAAGAGTACTGGAGGGTGCATGACCATTTGTATATCATTTAAATTGTGATTATCGTTGATAATATGAGGTATGAATATTAATATTTGCTTCGAACTATGTTATTACTTGTGTTTGTTCTCACCTTAAAGACACACTAAATTTATTAGCTTACACCCCTTTATTTTCTATCTTTTAGATATTCGGGTTAGGAGAATCGGTACTTAGAGTTACGACTTTATCCATATTTCATTAATACTTAGAGTTACGACTTTATCCATATTTCATTAATTTCATAGTACAACATTTTTCTCAGATTTTATGTTTTATATTTTATTAATATTTTGTTTGGATGTTATTTAAAGTTTAAATATTTTGGAATATTGAATTTAAATTATGTTTGGACTGTGGATTTGATATACGTTTTATTTACATTTTAAGTTATTATTTGATTTATTTTGGTTACTTAAAATATTTTGAAAACGATAATTGTGAGGGTTAATTTTTATGTATTTTAAATAATATTTGGGTAAGTTTTGGAGGTAAGTTAATAGGCCTTCTAAATTCGACTTGTTTTATCTAGGCCGGGTAAAGAGGGGTTACATTTAGTAGTATCGGAGTCAGGTTCAACCCTCGAACTATAGAGCACTATAGAGCTTGACCACAAGATTTTTAATCGAAAAAAGATTTTTAACATGCATAAAATATTTTCGATTTAAAATGAGAATTTTTGGAATTATTATTATTATTATTTAACTTTGTTATAAATTTTTAATTTTGAAAACTCCAAGTACCAACTTTAATCTTAGGTTTTGCCTTTGTAAATAGTGTTCTATGACACCTCGTAAGAATTCTCGTCTACTGACTAGTTAGGGTCGTACTACTACGGTTAGAGTGAACCCTCCACCTCTAGTGGGTCAAACCCAAAATTCATCTCAAGTTAATGAGACCAAGAGAGAGTAGCAACCTATGAATCGGACTGGAGTTCATAAAGTTGGGAATGAAAACTCGCC